AAAATACTATCTATTAAGACAATCCTGATTTGAAAGAACAGTTAGGATTAACTTTTCAGTTCCATTACAGTATTCTTCGCAAGGAGCATGTTATGAAATTGACCTTAAACTATAAGGGTGATGATATTTCTACTTTAATGGGGTAGGATGGGATTGTGCCAAAAAGACAATATGGCATATATATATATATATAATTGTGCCAAAAAGACAATATGGCATATATATATATATATATAATGTTTACAACTATAAATACAAAACACGTGCAGCCATTTTGGCATTACTTTGCCATGCATACCAAAGATGTAGTCAAACCCATTAACATTTGATTTTTCCAATACTCTACGTAAACTGTTCTTGCTGAGGTCAATACATGCATGATTAAATACGTTGTACCTTTACTGTGGCCTTCCGTCATTATTCCCAACAGGAATAATTCTGGCTGAAATTGAATGTGTCCTCCCACCATTTGCTCTCTTCGTGCCTGTATCTATTTCCAATATTGTCTTGCGTGGCTTTGATCACGTTGACTGTGGGAATGCTACAAAGGTCGTAAGTGTGAAAAACGGTCATAAGTCACTTTTTTCAGGGCCTTTCTAACTCTGAACGGTCACTAAATGAACTGTTGTAAGTCAAGGCCCACTTTTACTCCCTGTATGACAAGGAGCTCTTTCTTCCCACAAAACAGGCAGGACCGATAGAGACACATTTTGTGCACAAGTCCTTGGGAACCCCTTTGACTAAACTTCCCAAATTACTATTAGGGTAGTAGTCACTTTTACTAATCAGTAGAAACTAAAGCTACGCCAACAAAACGTAAGTGTAACTATTCGTAATAGTTTCTCCTTTCGAAAGAAGATTGCACATTTTTTTTTAATTCACATCTCTTCCACAACTGATTTTACATGTGACGGAAGAATATACAAATGAGAAAACAGTAGGCGGGATATTTGTGACTCATAATTCCTCACTTACGGAGGGGTGTGTGTGTGTATGTGTGTCACACTTGTTTAGAAGCTGTTTGTTGTTAGCGTGCACCCTCTGGTGGATCAGGTGAAACTTACAAAAGCAGACATCGCTCGGCCCCAACCATCTGAAGGGAAAAGAAAGCAATAGCAATATAGCCCTTGGACTTATATACCGCTTCACAGTGCTTTTACAGCCCTCTCTAAGCAGTTTTTAGAGTCAGCCTATTGCCCCCAACAATCTGGGTCTTCATTTTACACACCTTAGAAGGATGGAAGGCTGAGTCAACCTTGAGCCACTCAGAATAGCAGCAGAACAATTAGTTTTGTGAAGCCATATGAACTTGGGGTTAGCAGGCCTTCTTAACTGTCTGTGTTAACCCTAACCCTTTTAGGGTGTAGCAATATCATGTTACTCATGTCACAAAGGCTTGTTCATAGACAACCCCCATCACAGACAACCCTCATCAAACTTGATTGATCTTAAAAATAAAGACAACAATAGCATCCATACACCTGAATCTACACCATTTATATGGGAGATATTCTAAAATTTAGAATAGAATAGAACTGAAAGGGACCCCGGAGGTCTTCTAGTCCAGCCCCCTGCTCAAGCAGGATAACCTATACTATTTCAGATAAGTGGCTGTCTAGTCTCTTCTTAAAAACCTTTTAAAAGTCTCTTAAGACTCTTCTTAAAAACCTTTAAATTTTCAACATCCCAAATGGCCCACAAAAGATAAGATAACCTCTATTGTCTTTTTTTTAATATGAGCACACTGGCGCATATTAAAAATGAAATTCTGCTGCTTGCTCTCAAAAGAAAGCATATATCTACTATCTATCTATCTATCTATCTATCTATCTATCTATCTATCTATCTATCTATC